GTACTCCTTTCAGCAAGGGGTTTTGCCATCTCAGAACCAGAAAAATACCAAATTATATTCTAAAAAGTGAACACCTATACCATTCATTAATATGATTTCAAAAATATTTTTGTCCTAGTTTACATGTGTTTGTGTAGTGTACGCAGAGGTGATTGTATATAATAGCTTAAAATGAAATCTTATTTTTATATATTGTGGGGGGTATAGGTTTATGGGGGGCTGTGAGTGTGTGGGTATGTGGGGTGTGGGGGAGGGTGTGCCTGTGGGGGGTGGATAGGTGTGAGGGTGTAGGGGGAGGGAGCATGTGGGTGTGTGGATATGTGGCATGTGGGTGGGTATGAGGTTTGTGGGGGCCATGTGTAGGGGGGATGGTGGCTGGGGTGTGTGAGGGTCTGCATGTATGGCAGTACGAAGGGGGTGTGGGTGCATGTGTATGATGGGGGGTGTGTGTGGGACTCACCCTGCAAACGCACACTCAGTCCCTCTCTATGCCCCCCCTCCCTCCCCAGGTATCAGTGCTGGCCCTGCATCCAGGAGCCATGTGGTGCCAGAGCACTGCAGGGACAGGAAGGCAGAGGAATGACTGGGGGTAGGGCGGGACTCGTCTGTTGCATCCTGCCAGCTCTCCTTGGGTCCTGCTGCCCCTGGCTCTTGTCATCTTTGACAGGCAACCAGGAGCAGATAAATATTTTCTAAATTTTTTAGGGGCACCGCTGCCTGGATTGAATGGCCTGGTGGGCCAGATGCAGCCCGGGGGTTGTATTTTGCCCACCCTGATCTATAGTTTTAGAGTGGGTGATTCAGTTTAGTTGGACATATTAATGGTATATCATCTGATTTGGTACTGAAGGTGGTGGATTGTAATGTTATACCTGTGCCATGGAACAGCCTTTTGCTGCTTTGATTTGAACCTCAGGATCCATGTCCTTTGCCAACCTTTGGGGGGTTTTTGTGGGTATCCCCTTTGAAAGTAATTGAACCTGAACACTTCCACTTTGCTTCAAGAAAGACTAGTCTTTATCACAGACCTTACAAGATTCTTTTTTCAAGATTTGATTTCACACATCACCTTCATTTAGAGATGGCTTGTGACAGCCAAAGCAGACAGAGAAAAGATAGTGGTGGGGGAAGTCTTAGGCTACATCATCAAAGATTTTTTTCTCTCTTTTAAAGTCATATGTCGCTGTGCAGGTGGCAAAAAAATTCTTGTTACAAGGAATGGAGAGCCAAATGGGAGTTATCATTATTCAGTGGTTTAAGTGCATGTTAATGAGGAAATTACTTATTTCACTCATTTGAAAATAATTCCAAGTCAGTTTCTAGGCCGCTTATATAGGAACAGGAAATTACTTTAAGGGAACAAAGGGCGAAGTCTTTTCTCTTGAGTTTTGGCCTGTGTGGCCTGCTGAGGTACTATTGGTTTTGGGAGTAATCTGTTCTGTGATCTGTACTTGGGAACCGTGTCCTTCTTGCTGGTGAACACATGGGAAAGAAGTAGGTTTATTACGGAATGGAATGTGCTCATGAGTATGTTCTTAGTAAGAGATTAAATTCACTAAGTAAATTATTCACTCCAATTTATCCTTGCATTCCATTACAAATCTTCCTTTGTGCATCTATAGATTGCAGCAGTCTAAACAATTATAAAATCATAGAGAAGCAGAGCTGGAAGAGATCTCCAGAGGTCATCTAGTTTAACTCTCTGCCTGAGGCAGGATAATCCCTACCGAAAACCATCCTATATTATCTGTCTATTTGACTTTGAGTCTATTGCTTACATAAATGCACCACACTGGATCCTACTAAATTGTAGCTGATTTGGATGACAGATTATTATATCATCTTGTCAGAAGGAATATATTGTGAAAATGCAGATCTGTGTGGCATTAAAAATAACAACTTTATTTTGAGGTTTGGGGTTTTATGGGTCATTTTTCTTCTAGAGACTAATTGTGTTTTTTTTCTAGGTAATTTATTTAAAGAAGACGCCAGAAGAAACCTACAGATCACTTTTATCTGGGTCTAATCCACCATATCTCCCATTTAGGTATGTGAAGTCTTACTTATTTTTTATTACTTTGGAACTTGCTAAATTAAAAAAAGGAGTGATAATGCAGTGATGCAAAAATATTTTGGTTCCAGAATGATTCTTAAAAAATGACTTTTGATGAAAGTTTTGCTTCAGGATAGCATGAGAATTCTGTCTAGTTTGGGAGGTTTGCTTAATGCATGTTTCAGTCTCAGAAAATCATTGGTAATCAGCTACTGTCTTTTTAATGATAATGTTGTTGTCAAAGTGTAACTTGTGAATTAATTTTCCATGTGATGTACTTAGTTTGCAAGCAGAAGAAGCTGCTAATTAGGTTGGAGGTAACTTACTTTCATCAAGATACATATTTCCAAATGCATATTAGAAAGAGAGAACTAAAGCTCAGAGAGTTTAACTTGTTTTCAGTTCTATTTTATGGATGAACTAGATTATGGTGGCATTACAATGACTCCTAGTAAAGAGTCACTTGGAGGGGCTGGATGTTTTTAAATCAGCAGGACCAGATGAGCTCTACCCAAGGGTGCTGAAAGAATTAGCCAGTATCATAGCAGAGCCACTGGCATGACTGTTTGAGCACTCGTGGTGCTCAGGTGAGACCCCTGAGGACTGGAAAAGGGGCAATGGGGTTTCTATTTTCAAGAAGGGGAGGAAAGAAGATCCAAGTAACTATAGACCATTTAGTTTCACCTCTATCCTTGGGAAAACCCTTGAAAAAATTATCAAGGATCACATTTGTAGGAGTCCAGTGTGTAATTTAATACTGATGGGCAACCAGCATGGGTTCATAGCTGGTAGATTCTGCCAGACTAACCTTGTTTCTTTCTATGACCAGGTCACTAAAAGCTTAGATGCAAGTGTCGAGGTAGATGTTGTCTGCTTGAACTTTAAGAAGGCCTTTGACACAGTATCCCATCCTAGTCTTATAAACAAATTGAATGGCTGTGCCATAGACAATTACACAATCAGGTGGGTGGCAAATCTGCTTAAGAGTCATACCCAGAGAGTGGTGGTGGACAGGTCAGTATTCACCTCAAAAGATGTGGGCAGTGAGGTCCCCCAAGGCTCAGTCCTTGGGTCGGTGATGTTCAATATCTTCATCAGCGTCCTGGATGAGGGTGTGGAAAGTACTCTGTTCAAGTTCGCAGATGATACCAAACTATGGGGCAAAGCAAACACACTGATGGGAAGAAACCAAATCCAGGCAGACCTGGACAGGTTAGAGAAGTGGGCAGAGAACAATAGGATGCAGTTCAACAAGGACAAGTGCAAGGTGCTGCACCTAGGGAGAGGGAATCACCAGTACACCTATAGGCTGGGGGATGACCTTCTCAGCAGCACAGCAGCACAAAGAGATCTCAGAGTCGTTGTCAACTCCAAGATTAATATGAGTCATTAATGTGACCAAGTACCTATAAGTACACAAGGGTGTTCATCAGGATCTGGGAGAGAGTCTGTTCACCAGAGCGCCCCAAGGAAAAACAAGGACCAATGGTCATAAACTCCTACAAGACCATTTTAGGCTGGACATAAGAAAAAACTTCTTTACTGTCCGAGCCCCAAGACCTGGAATAGACTCTCTCCAGATGTGGTACAGGCACCTACTCTGGACTTATTCAAGAAACGCTTGAATGCTTATCTTGCTGGGGTCCTTTGACTCTAGCTGACTTCCTGCCCCTGGGCAGGGGGCTGGACTTGATGATCTTCAAAGTCCCTTCCAGCCCTAACGTCTATGAAATCTATGAAGCAATTAGCAGAGCTAACCGCACTTTGTCATGCATTTGTAGATGCATCACAAACAGGTCCAGAGAGGTGATGCTCCCCCTCAATGAGGCACTGGCCAGGCTGCAGCTAGAGTACTGCGTCCAATTCTGGGCACCACAATTCAGGAAGGATGTAGACCTTGAGAGGGTCCAGAGGAGGGCCACTCATATGATTAGAGGCCTGCAGGGAAGGCCTTATGAGGAAAGGCTGAGGGATCTGAGAAGGCTGAGGGGGGTTCTTGTGGCAGTATATAAATTCACCAGGAGGGGCAGCAGGGAATAGGAGATGCTCTGTTTACCACAGCACTCCTTGGAATAACCAGAAACAACGGCCACAAGCTGATGGAGAGTAGGTTTAGGTTGGACATCAGAAAGAACTTCTTCACGGTTAGGGTTGCCAGAATCTGGAATGGGCTTCCAAGGGAGGTGGTGCTCTCCACTACCTTGGGGGTCTTTAAGAGGACACTGGACGAGCACCTGGCTGGGGTCACACAACCCCAGCACTTTTTCCTGCCACTGGCAGGGACTCAGACTCGATTATCCTTTGAGGACCCTTCCAACCCTAGCATCTATGAATCTATGACGTCATCTAGTCCAACCCCCCTGCTCAAAGCAGGACCATCCTCAACTATACCATACCAGCCAAGGCTTTGTCTACCTAGGTCTTAAAAACCTCCAAAGATAGAGATTCCACAGCCTCTCCAGACAGCCTGTGCCAGTGCCACTGGATTTGCTGCCTTGGTTGTTATTGTCAGCCTCAACAAATCCATGGGTCCATTGGCTCTAAATACATGTTAAGGACTTAAATTTTATTTTTAATTATTAGATTAGAGTGGCCCTGGGGCTATGGGTCAACAGAATCTTTGGTGCAAATGTATGGATTCAATGAGTTTGTATTGACAGACTGCCATGTTCCCAGCAAGACTATCACTACATTAACCTTGAACTGTGACATGATCCAGACTGTGGAACACTCCAGACCTCAGTTCCTGACAAGTCAGGCCCTGGTTAGGAATGTCCTCCTACTCAGTAATAACCTCACAGAAGTACAAAAAGGGATGTCAATTTTTTTTTAGCTTTGGATAAAAGATATTTTTACTTGAATTCAACCTTCTTATCCTCTTTCTCTAGCTGAAGCTCAGTAGTAGCTACCACCTTGCATGTTTGGTGCTGAAGTCAAAGCAGTGAAATGGTGCATGCTATGGTCCAGAAAGTATGCGAGAGGCTTCTTCACATAATTTTCAGAGTAGCTTTTGCTATTTTGTACATGCATTTTTCAAGCAGTCTTTACTAGGTTGGCACTGACAGTTGTTGGGCTGGTGTTTTCCCTGCTTCTGTCAGTAATGCATTTGGGAGATGTATTTAGATCTGAGTTCAAGAATACAGAGGCAAAAAACTCATTGAAGAGCTATGGTCGAAGTTGCTGTTTGCAAGCAGGAGTGCAAGTTCCTCCTGCTTGTTCTCCATGCTCCAGCATTAGTGTAGAGACATTTAAGCCCCCCAGCGGGTGCCCTTGGTACCCCCTTGTCCTGATGTCTGTCAGGCCCCTTAGTGCTTACCTGGGCTGATTCATCGCATGGCTCGTGGTTCTTTGAACATAGGTTCTTGTTGTCCACTGCATCCCCATCCCCTGACGAACCTAGTTTAAAGCCATTCGGAGGAGATCAGCCAACCTGTAAGAGAACAGACTCTTACCTTTAGAAGAAAGATGAAGACCATTTCGTCCCAGGATACCTCTCTCATGGCAGTGTGGATCGTGGTTGTAGAAGCCAAAACCTGCACAATGGCACCAACTTCAGAGCCGCAGGTTGACTTCTCTAATGCAGGCATCTTGGTGTTGATGGCAACCGCTGAACGGGAGGATCGATGAGAAGACCACCTGTGCCCCCAACTTCCTAAGCCTGGCCCCAGAGCTTTGTAGTCACTCATGATGCAGTCCGGACTACTCCTGGCTTTATCATTCGTGCCCATGTGGACAAGGACCATGGGATAGTAAGTGGAGGGCTGGATGAGGTCGGGAATCCTCGCAGTGATGTCTTGGATCCTGGCACTGGGCAGGCAGCAAACCTCCCGTGCCATGGGATCCAGTCAACAAATAGGCCCCTCCATGCGTTTCAGGAGGGTGTCACCCACCGTGATGACCTGGAGTCTCATCTTCAGGCTGCTCAGTTGTCGCTCAGCCTGCATGGTTAATGCAATTTCCTCTGCTGCATCATCCTTCAGTGCTACCAGGGCTTCATATCTGTTCCCCAGTTGTGTTGGGGAAGCAGTCACAGCCGCACACTGTCTTGCTCTGGAAGTCCCTCCTGAGGTCCCTTCCAACCCTAATTTTCTATAATTCTATGATTCTCTGACTAAGGTATGTATATGTGTGGGCAAGTGTTGACCGTAGTTCTGACAGACTTCAACCATGCAGGCTGAAATGTTTCAGGTGAGTGTCAGCCTCAGCCTGAGTTGAGTGTATTTCTTTTTTATTAAGCTCCAGTCAGAATGATTCAAACATTTCTGAGAATAAGACAGGATGGGGGTCCACCTTTAAAAAAAAAAAAAAAAAAAAAAAAAAAAAAAAAAAAAGCTTCTACTACCTATAATCAGTATCCAAAATGATAAAATACAGACCACGTTATACAAGAAACCCACAGACCAACATACATATCTGCACAGAACCAGCAATCACCCTAAACACACCAAAAAAGCAGTGATATACAGCCAAGCCCTCAGATACCACC